GGCACTGGTTTGTTTCCCGACTGCTCCACTTCCTATCCAGCTTCCTACTAATGCGCCTGAGAAAGCAGCAGAAGATGGCCCAAGTGCTTGGACCCTGCTACTCATGTGGGAGACCCAGATGAAGCTCTTGGCTCCTGGCTTTGGTCTGGTCCAGCCCCAGCTATTGTGACCATCTAGGGAGTGAACCAGAAGATGGAAGGCTGCCCTCTCTCTGTAACTCTGTCTTTCAAATAAATAAATAAATCTTTAAACAGGCAAAGAGAAAAATAGGGATATAAAAAGAAATGAAAAAGGAAAGATGAGAAGAAAAGACTTTGTTCTTTTGCAGGAGGACGGCAGGCGGGCGCTCTGCAAAGCTGCAGAGCAGGCATAGATCCATGCACCCGCGACACCTGGCAGCCAGTCTCTCCTGAGTCATCCCCTGCTCTCGCCCTCTGCATTCTGCGGTCCAGCTAGCTGCACCCTGGCTCCTGAGTTCTTGTGCCTTTTTTTCTATTTTGCAAAACTGTACTTTTCATTTTTATTTGACATATAGTAATTGTACATGTGCATTGGGACACCGTGCCACACTTCAGTATAGCATGCAGTGCTCAGCTCTGGGCCCTGTGAATGTCTGGTATTAAGGGCCCCGCATGTGTCTCCAAAGAAGGGGTGCCCTGCGGGAGGACAGCAGAGCACAGCCGGGAGCTGCTCGCCCCCGACCACCACTGCTTGGTGTGGTGGGAGCCGCGGCCCTGTGCTCCTCAGCTGTTCTGACTCACTCGCCTGTGACATGGGAGTATCACGGGTGCCTCTGGGGGCCGGCGCTGTGGTGCAGCAGGCCAAGCCTCCCCCTGCAGCATCAGCATCTCATATGGGTGCCGGTTCGAGTCCCAGCTGCTCCACTTCCGATCCAGCTCCCTGCTAATGCACCTGGGAAAGCAGTGGAAGAGGGCCCAAGTGCTTGGCTCCTGGATTTGGATTGGCTCAGAGTGAATCAGTGAATGGAAGCTCACTTTCTCTCTCTCTCTCTCTCTTTCTCTGCCTCTCTGTAACTCTGCCCTGATTGGCTCCGCCTTGCTTATCTGCCCACCAGGGAGCTGGAGAGAGGAGCCATCTCTCCCTGGAGCCTGCACAAATTCCTTTGCAACTAGATAGACCCAGGTGGTCCAGCGTGACCATTTTTTACCAGGGAGATTTTTGGGGCAAATAACTGCTTGAACCTCATCTATAAAAGAGATATTGATGATTTCAACCTCCTTTTTCTGGATTTTCTAGTTTTTTATTTATTTGAAAGGTGGATAGAGCGGTATCTTCTACCTGCTGATTTACTCTCCAAATGGCTGCAACAGCCAGGATTGGACCAGACTGAAGCCGGGAGCCTGGAACTCCACTGTGGTCTCCCACGTGGGTGGCAGGGACCCACGCACTCGAGTGATCTTCAGCTGCTTTCCCGGGTACATTAGCAGGGAGCTGGGTTAGAAGCAGAACAGCCAGGACTCAAAACTGCTGTACCACAGCACCAGCCCCATCTCAGCCTCTCGGAGCTGTTAGGAAGAGGCAGTGGCTTCTCCAGGCAAAGCGTTTGCACAACACTCACAACGATGTTGCCATCGTTACTATGAACGCTTTTGTCTTTCAGCACCTCCACTTCCAGGAAGTCTGCCTTGATCACTGCCTCCCAGCGAGCCAGAAGGAAGTTGTCCCCTGGGGGCTCTCACAGCCCTCTCTGGGGATCGTCCGTGTGACCTTTCCGTTTCTGCTGTGTGCGTGATTCTCGCATCCTCCCAGACTTCCAGCCCCAAGAGGGGCCGGGGTAGCTGCAGCCGTGTCTCTAATTTAGTAAGAACCATTGCTAACACCCACCCAAGGCTCACAGCTGCTGGGGCCTTCTCCCCCTGCCTGCTGTGAGCTAGAAGGCTGTGCCACGGGGCAGGAGGACATCACAGACGGGGAAGCGTGATGGCGCCAAGGTCAGGCAGCCAGTTGGCGGGTCAGGCAGGGGCTTCTGGATTCCCAGCACAGGGCTCTTTTCACGCGACACAGGGCTGTGAGTGTAGACCTCACCTGGACTGGACGGTGCTGGTCACTCAGCACGCAGGCTGGCTGCTAGTGCCCCCACTGCTGTGTCCCCATGCGGAGCCCTCCTCCCCCAGCCCCTCCTTGCCTCGTACTGCCCTCTCCTTCTTTGGTCATGCACCTCCCAGGTCAGACCGGCCATGGTCAGTCCACCTGCAGATCCCTGGAGGGCAGGTGAGTGTCCGCTTCAGCCCTGGCCTCTTAGACTGCTCCGGGCGGCGGAAGCAACGCTTCCAGCTTATCACGGCACCCTCCTCGGCCAGACTGCCTGTGGGCTCAGGCCCTCGCAGCCAGGCCTGCATGTGAGTTCTCCCTGCCAGAGGCTGCCCCCACCTCCCCGGCCTCCGACTCACTTCCTGTCCTGAGTGTGAGCTCATGACTGCCTCTTCCCAGAGCTGGCGTCTTATCTCTGTGCCCACACACGCTTGCCGGCTGGGGAGGTGGAAAACTGGATTTCACGTCTGTAATGTGAACAGAGATGGCGCCCCCGGTGGAGAAGTGGCAGAGGCTTTAGGCTAGCAGCCCCGTGAGCCTATTTACATTCATGTGCACGAAGGTTAAACACAGGTTTCCAGTTCAGCTCCGCTGTGACGCGGCCACGCTTCGCGCAGCTTGGCACGGACAGGTGGCATTTGCATCGTCCAAGGACGTGTTGTTGACCAAGCCGGTTTGGGGCAATCCATGCGGCGCCGGCTGTGTGTTGTGAAGCCCCTGACCTTGTTAGCTGTGGAGGAGGCGGGGTGTGTGAGTGTGTGTGTGTGTGTGTGTGTGTGTGATTTCACAGGTGCCTGTTTTCAGTAGATTGTGCCCTGTTTCCACGTGGCTGTCCACTCTCCTTCAGACCTAAGCACAAAAGGGGGCGAGGGACGGGATGGGGGGAGGGAGGTCCTCATTCCTGAGGGCTCCCATGGATGTAAAACTGTGATCAGGTAAACGCCTGATACTTTCCCTTGTTGTAGGAATGTGGGTGGTGACCGTTAAGGTAGGGTGGGAAGGGATCGCAGCATCTCCCCACCCTTCCAGGCGGACCAGGTTCAAAACAGGGAGCCACTGTTCCTTCCCCACTACAAGGACAACTCTGCTCTCCTGCCGGAGAAGGTACTGGAGGCAGTGCGAGGCGCAGCTAATCATGCCTGTTTCTAGCATCTGGAACCACGCGTTTTGGACTTTTCCAAGGAGAAGTGGCCATGTAGGCTTGCAAATGTATTAAGATCTCTCAATTTTTTTGTTGTTGTTGTTCAGGCTTCCTTCAAATGGTTTGTGGGAAATGGGGTGAAAAGATAGACTACTTATTATGATGCAAACCCAGTTGAATTTCATACATTAATGTTTTTCATGATACGCGTTTCCCTTGAACTTTTTTTTTTTTTTTTTTAATTTTTGACAGGCAGAGTGGACAGTGAGAGAGAGACAGAGAGAGAAAGGTCTTCCTTTGCTGTTGGTTCACCCTCCAATGGCCACCGCTGCAGCCGGCGCACCGAGCTGATCCGATGGCAGGAGCCAGGATCCAGGTGCTTTTTCCTGGTCTCCCATGGGGTGCAGGGCCCAAGCACCTGGGCCATCCTCCACTGCACTCCCTGGCCATAGCAGAGAGCTGGCCTGGAAGAGGGGCAACCGGGACAGAATCCGGCGCCCCAACCGGGACTAGAACCCGGTGTGCCGGCGCCGCAAGGTGGAGGATTAGCCTATTGAGCCACAGCGCCGGCTTTTTTTTTTTTTTTTTTTGAAGATCCTCGGATTCAGGGATTATTTCAAGGTGTTTTAAAACAAGGCAAACTTACCTTTTGTTTTTGTTTTCCGAGAACTTTCTGAAGTGCCCTGGTATTTTTGGCAGAGAACGGATGTCCAGGTGCCGGGCTGTGGGAACCCCAAGGAGTACTTCCCCCCACCTGCCTCCTGCTGCCCAGGGCGGAGGAGTCCCAGGCTCAGGGGAGGGCAGTCACTCCGCGAGTCGGGGCAGAGTGGGACTTCTAGAAACAGCTCCTGGTGCTGACGTCATGTGGGGAGCAGGGATGGCCCCTTGTGCTCAGCCAGCAAGCCCGGATTCACGCCCCAAGCTGGGCTGTGAGGGGCCCCTGCTGACACCCACCCTTGCAGGCTGGAAGTCCAGCTTTCAACCCTGACTGACCCCTGTGGGGTAGACCCCTGGGCCCCAGCATCGGTCACCTTCGGGTCTGTCTCTTTTCTGTGGCCAGCACTGGGGTGGCCGCTGGGTGTCGTGGAACCGGGGAAAAAGCCGTAGGGGCTGCTGGTGGTCGAGCACCCGTGAGACCCTGCGGGCCCGCATCCCTCTGCACCTGTTCAGCTCCAGGAACCTGGTGGGTTCACGAGCAGCCGGAGAAGCTGGGCGCCTGCTCAGAGGCGTCTAGGAGTTGAGTTTATTGAAGTACAGCACACACGGAGAGAGTGCACGCATCTGAAGAGCACATCACTGAACTGTCACTACGTGAACGCACTGGCAGCTCGAGGTCCCCACCGCGACCAGCGCCCCGCAGGTCCCAAGCCCCCTGCCAGCCTGGACTCCCTGCACGGTGGGGACAGGAGTCCTGGCCTGGGTGGTGCGTGCAGTGTGCGGCTGAGGGTCCCGAGCGCGTGTGTGGGGCTGGGGAGCCCTGGTGGGGGGTCGGAGTGACGGTTGCTGAGTATGAATTTGCCGGGATTAATTGTGTGGCGGTCGGGGGTGCGGGATTTGGGCGCTGCGGGAGGCTGGGCGGTCGGCGCGGGGTCGCGAGGACCCTGGGAGCAGCCGCAGAGCCGTGAGGAGGTGGGTGTGGCCTTCGCGGGGTCGCGGGGGCGGAGCCTCAAGTGGGCGGGGCCGGGGCGCCGATGGGGTCGCAGGGGCGGGGCCGGGGCGCCGAAGGGGTCGCAGGGGCGGGGCAGGTGGGCTCTAGGTCATGGGTCTCTGGATGAGGCTGGGCCGGCGGGCGCGCGCACGCAGCCGGCGCGCCCCCTCCCGGCCGCCATGTTGGTTGGTGTGTGGGTGTCAAAGGGAGGCAGACGCGGCGGCGGCGGCGGCGGCTGCGGCTCCGCGGGCTCCGGTGGCTCCCGCTTGCCTTCCCAGCGCTACGGGCGGCAGCAGCAGCGCACACGCCCCGGCCCGGAGGAGCGGAGGTGAGCCGGGACGTGCGGGCTCGGGAGCCGCAGCGGGGCCGCTGGGCGCGGACCCTCCCCCTCGGCAGGGCGAAGCCCCCTGGAGCGTGCACCCCTGCCGCCTCCTCCCAGGCAGGACCCTCTTGCTTGCACCCTGGCCCCCTCCCGCTGCGAGCGCTCCCTTTCCTGTCCTCGGAGTCTGGGGCTCCCCGCACTCACACCTCCGACGCGGGCGCCCCCGGGCCCGGCGCCCCTTCCTCCGGGGCCATCCTGGTCTCCCTGGCGCCCCGCGTGCCCGAGCGCAGCCCCAGCTTCCTCCGGGAATCGGGGGAGGGGTCCTCGCTCTCCTCCGGGCCGAAGCGGGGCCTCCTTTCCCCCTCCCCAGCCGCCGCCCCCACAGCGCAGCGGGGACGGGGGCGGCGAAGCCGGGCTCCAGCTGCCTTTTGTTCCCGCGTGGGATGACAGAGACCCGGGCCGCGGTCCTGCGGGGCTCGTCGGGGTAGGGAGCGGCCTCTGCCGGGAGACCCTGGCCTGAGTCTCCCCGTGGGGCGGCTCCCTCGGAGCCGAGCGCGTGGGGGAAGAGGCTGGCGCTCGCCGGAGTCGTTCGTGCCAACAGGTTTTCGTACCTGAAGTTGGCTGGGTGGTTGAGCCTGAGCTCCCTAGAAAGCCCAGCTGGGGCCTGTGAAAACCCATTCCCGGGAGATCCCTCTGTCCGGGCGGGCCTCTCCGTGTTGTGCTGCCCCGGGGCGGGCGCATCTGCAGTCTGTGCATTAAGGGAGGGGGCTTAGGTATTATTGGGGTTCAGGTGGTGGTGGGGGAAACCGAGGCGCAGATTTGCCCAAGGTCACGCTGCAAAACTTTGTCAGTGGCAGAACTGGAAGCTCCGTCTCCAGTGTTCTCTCCACGAAATTTAAAATTTTTTTTTTTCTGGAGAGATGTTCAGAATTCCCTTCCCCTTTTAACATTCACGTAAGAAAACGGGCAGGAAAAGGCGAGAAGGACGAGTTCTTCCCCGAAAATACCCTGTGGACGAAAGGATTGGAACAAGGGGTTGAAATGATTGAACAAGGTGAATTTTAATTACCGTGCTCCGGGTCCCTGCATTACGTAATACAATGAGGAGTTGGCAGGAAACACGTGCACCTTGTAGCTGGAGATAGGGGATGCTCGCGCTGACAAGATCCTACTGAGTGCTTGGGTCTGCGCTGGGAGTTTGCATCTGTGGCCAGATGAGCGGTTGGTGTCTGTGCACGGCGGCTCGGGTGCTTGTGTTCTGAACAAGTGGTTGTGTTGGGGAAGCGCACCTGTGTCTTCCCGAGCTTTAATCGTCTGTCCTGCCCAGTCTCACGGGGAGATAAGTTTGGGAGAATGTGGGTCGCTGTGAGGCAGGATTCAGGCCGCCGGGCCAGGAGCAGGTTCCGATGGGTGGCCTGGTTGGATGACGCCTTGCTTCCATCTGCCTGCCCTGTGGGGGCTTCTAGCCTCCCTGCCGCCCCCAGGCAGACAGATGGGGATCTCTGGGGAGAACTGTTTCCCAGCAAGGCGTGAAGAATGCGAAACCTTCAAGTGTTAATACCCCGCCTTTGTAGAACTGGGCTGTAGAAGTAGGGTTGCTACAGTCTTTCATAACCAGGGGAGGTTTCCCAAGAGTGAGATTCTGATAAGAGCCTTGCAGAAGTGGTGAAGTTTTGGAAGCTCTGATTGGTGCTGAGGGCTTGGCTTGTGGAAGGGCAGGTGTCCCTCTACCCCAGGAGTTCTTCCTGACTTCCTGAACCACAGGCTAAGAGACTTTCATCCGTGGAATTGTCATCCTCCTGCGCTGGAAAGAGCCTTCAAGTTGTCTAACTTTCCGGCGCGTGTTCTCCCCTTTCTCAGCACTTTCCCTGTCCTGTTCATGGCGTGTGCATGACCAAGGTCCTTGCCCCTTCCTGGCAGGAGTACCTGGTAACCCTTAGCTTTGGAGAAGTCCTAGAGTGAGGACTCCAGGGATTTGAAGTTGGAAGGGATGTGGGGAATGCTTAGTTCTACCCGTCTTTGTCTCCTGGACTTCTTACTGGCGTGTTGGGTTTACATGCACCTCTTCTGTCAAGGCTCCGCCAGCCAGTGCACTGGTTGAGTCCCTGTTCCTGCACCCTCCCAGCCCCTCCACCCCATATACTCAGTGGGAGCCCGTATCTGGGGCTCTTGTGACCCTGTGATGTCTTGGAAGCCAGCGCCCTGCTGGGTTGTGGGTACTCGTGGCGGGCGCACAGTAAAGACCTCGCAGGGGATGTATTCTTGGGGGGCAGTGGGTCCAGCAGTCACATGTCTGTCACCTAGGTGCTGTCCCTCTCCTAAAAGTGAGAAACAGGCACGTGTCCAAGGTCACACAGCCCGGTGGAGCTGGGGGCTTTACATGAGTGACAGATCTGTAGAACTCCACAATATGTTTTTTTTTTTAAGATTTATTTATTTGAAATTCAGAGTTACACAGAGAGAAGGAGAGGCAGAGAGAGAGGTCTTCCGTCCTCTGCTTCACTCCCCAATTGGCCGCAACTCCAGGAGCTGTGCCGATCCAAAGCCAGGAGCCAGGAGCTTCCTCTGGGTCTCCCCCGCGGGTGCAGGGGTCCAAGCACTTGGGCTATCTTCTGCTGCTTTCCCAGGCCATAGCAGAGAGCCGAATTGGAAGTGGAGCAGCCGGGACTCGAACCGGCGCCCATATGGAATGCCGGCGCTGCAGGCGGCGGCTTTACCCGCTACACCACAGCACCGGCCCTGGACTCCAGAATATTATCCCTGTGCCTTGTTGGAGAGCCCAAGTCTCAGGGAGAGGCAGAGTGAACTGGAGGTTGCTGCTGGGATGAATCTGATGTGGGTCAGAGTTGAGGACTGGAGAAAGCTCATTCTGCTTTGTCAGCTGCTTAGGTCTGGCCGTCCGGTTTTTGAAAATTGACCAATTTTTCTGATACGTTCCTCGGTGGAATTTTTTTTTCTTTATTAGCTTGTTGAAAGTGTCTAAGTAGAAATCTAGAGAAACATACAATGAAATTAGTGTGTGTGTGTGTGCTGTCCCTTCCTTCCGTGGGCTGGTTTGACTGGACCCATTTCCAAACAAGTGCTTCAGTTTTTCATGTTCCAGAGTCTTGCAAACTGCTTAAGTCGCTTTTACGAAAACAGCCAGAAAGCCGATAGTTTACATTGGTGCATGGCATGGTTTTACCACCAGGTGTGAGTGGAAGAACAGAGCCCCGGAGTGGAGAAGCGGGAGCAGCTGGCGTGGCTGGGATTCAGACGCAGGCCCCTGACTCCCAGGCGTGGGTCCCTTTGACTCCAGCCTCTCCCGTGCAGAGCGCCAGAGAGAGATGGGATTCACTTCCAGGGACAGGGCGGATCTGTGCCCCGAGCATCGTTGTCAGGCTCATGTGAGAAGGTTGGGAATCGTGAATGAGGTGTCTGGCTTCTTCCTGACCGTGAGGCTGCAGTTTGAATGTCAGTCATTTAATGGACCCCTTTATCTGATAGGAGCTTGATTTAGGGTTTGATTAAAAAAAAAAAAAAAGGTCCACTTTGAGCCAGCCTGGCAGCATTGTAGTGCCCCTGTGCGCGCATTGGATTCTTTGCGGTGACTCACTCCCAGCGCACCCAGTACTGCAGGCTGCTTTGTTCCTGGGCCCACAGAGGACTTTTCCTGGTGGTTTCCTGTGGGTGCTGGTCTGGGCAGAGTGAGCAGCGCGGTTAAGCGTTCCAGAGACAGAACAGGCAACTCGATTCTCTTTCTCTTCAAAGCTGTGCGCGGGATCGGGTGCGCCAGGGTCTGTCAGGGACGGGACCCAGCTTCCTCCTGGCCGCCCAGCTGCTAAGCAGAACAGGGAAAGCAGCCTGGTCCTGGGGGACGGCGAGCTTCAGGGCTAATGCGTGATGTGGGTTTAATCATTTATAATTCATCACTGCCGAGTGCAGACGTCACCCGTCCTCTGGTCCTCTCGCCTTGCGTCGCCGCAGCTCAGCTAGGCCACTCAGAGCAAATGGTATCGACAGTTTGGCTACAAAGTGGCAGACTGCTTTGGAGTCAGGTGCAGGCAGCTGGGCCTCCGGGGGTGGGGGCTGGGGGCGCTTCCATTTCCTGAGCTCTGGGGTGGGGCAGTCGTGGCCACGTCACGCCCTGAGCCAGCAGTGTTTCTCACACTCTAGTGCACATAGGCGGGGCCCTCTGCAGAGCTTCTGACGCAGTAGGTGAGACGTGGGAAGGGGTGTTGTTAACCAGCTCCCAATGCTGCTGCCGGCCTGAGACTGAGTGAGGGCACCTGCCGCTGTGCCAGGGGAACTCCAAAGCGACACTTCTTTTCTTTTTTAGATTTATTTATTTATTTGAAAGGCAGAGAGGGAGAGAGAGAGAGGGAGAGAGAGAGAGGGAGAGAGAGAGAGAGAGAGAGAGAGAGAGAGAGAGAGAGAGATCCTCCATCCACTGGTTCACTCCGAAGCTGATCCGAAGGCAGGAGCCAGGAGCTTCCTCTGGGTCTTCCACATGGGTGCAGGGGCCCAAGAACTTGGGCCATCTTCTGCTTTCCCAGGCCATAGCAGAGAGCTGGATCAGAAGTGGAGCAGCCGGGACTCAAACCGGCGCCCATATGAGATACTGGCGCTGCAGGCGGTGGCCTTACCCACTATACCACAACGCTGGCTCCAACACTATTTTCTGTCTCTGTAGTGCTGCTGCTGCTGCTTTTTTTTTTTTTTTGACAGGCAGACTTAGAGAAAGGTCTTCCTTCCGTTGGTTCACTCCCCAGGAGCCAGGTGCTTCCTCCTGGTCTCCCATGCGGGTGCAGGGCCCAAGCACTTGGGCCATCCTCCACTGCATTCCCTGGCCACAGCAGAGAGCTGGACTGGAAGAGGAGCAACCGGGACAGAATCCGGTGCCCCGACTGGGACTAGAACCCGGGGTGCCGGCGCCGCAGGTGGAGGATTAGCCTAGTGAGCCGTGGCGCTGGCCCTGTAGTGCTTCTAAATACTGCTCCCAAGATGGCTGCGTGGCAGGAGGGAAG